TATTCTATTCTATTCTATTCTATTCTATTCTTTCTATTCTATTCTATTGTAATTCTATTCTATTCAGCTAACCCTAACCCTATCCGTCCCTATCCCTATCATTTTTCTATTCTATTCTATTCTATTCTATTCTATTCTATTCTATTCTATTCTATTCTATTCTATTTCTATTCTATTGTAATTCTATTCTATTCAGCTAACCCTAACCCTATCCCTCTCATTATTCTATTCTATTCTATTCTATTCCTATTCTATTGTAATTCTATTCCTATTCTATTGTAATTCTATTCCTATTCTATTGTAATTCTATTCTATTCAGCTAACCCTAACCCTATCCCTGTCCCTATCCCTATCTTTATTCTATTCTATTCTATTCTATTCTATTCTATTCTATTCTATTCTATTCTATTCCACTTTTTAATTTTTCTATTTACTTTACAAAATTTGTATGCGTCTTCTAGATACAAACTTATCATTAATTGGCATTGCAAGTTTTTTCTTCTTTAGCTATGATAAGGGACAGAATTAGGAAAGGCAGGCATCCCCAACGTTTTACTTCTCCATTGTTTCTCACTGGCAAGATAGCAAGATGTATGGCGGGCCAACCTGCAAGGCACCCAAGAGGCGGGAAGGAGAACATGGGGTATCTTGAGGTGGGCAGGCAGGCCTGAGGCAGGTGGGCTTGTACCTGCACTAGGCCTCCCAGGATCTCCCCCACCCTTGAACTTCACTTAATGACCTGGGCATTTGTTTAAAGAGAGAACAGGGTGGCTGGTCAGGACTTGAGGCAGTTCATTTTCCAATGCTAATGGACAGGTTCCATTAACAGTCATAACTTGAGGGCTAATAGTAATCACACTGTGCTACGTGTTCATATTGCTTACACTTCAGTTCTCTCTCCCCCTCCCCCATTTCCTCATGGCTTTAATTTTTGTAATACTAAAACAAAATTGTATATATCTTTCACATTTCATGTTGGTTCAATGTTTGAGCCTTTCAAGATCTGGTTTTGTTTTCCATCATGTTAGTTGTCACCTCTGGTTTTGTGTCATCTATTAATTGCATAAGCATCTCTTCTGTGCTCACCCTGATGTCATATATGAAATATTAAATTGCACAGGGTTTAAGACAGAGTCTTCTAGCATTCTTTTCAAGGGACTCTTTTTGTTAGTATTGTAACTAAAATGTATCTAATCCATTTTAACATGGATATAATCAAATACATTGGGAAAACATATTACCTGAAACAAGATATACCGTGTCTAGGATGCTCCCAAGTTCTATCAAACTACATTTTATGAAGCCAGAATTTGGGCTTAGTTTCCTGTCTCATTTGATTGCCAGGAAAAAGTACTGCCTTCTCTGCCTTTAGTGAGTATCTATAACATAATTAGTACACAAACAATCCACAACATGGAATATGCCATAGTAGTACTAGGGAGGAGAAAGGAAAGCAGCTGGCCTTGCTCAGAATAAAGAGTTATCTGTATCAAGCTTAAATCCATTATTTCTGTGTTCAGTACACAAAACAATGCATGCAGTAATACATGAACAATGCAGTAATGCACAAACAATCATTTTTATATTGTTAAAAATCTCCAGGGGGAAAAAAAATCCATTAACTATACCCACTCAGAATAAAAGATAGGAAGAAGATAGTAGTAAGGGTTAGACTGTATTCAGAAAGAGAGAGGGGGAAAAAATACCAGCATTAATTTTCCAGACGGCTAACTGTCTAATAAGAAAGATCATGCAGAGTCTAATAAAAGATCCTGCTTGGCATGGTACCATTGCTTAAATTTATGTTATGGTTAACAAGCTTACTACCACACAAGGAAAATCAGCCTATCATCATTCACCAAATTCATAGTAGGGGCTCCAACTGATTAATGAGTGCCAAACAAATACAAGCATTAATTGGGCCAGAAAAAAAAAAGCAGGAAGTGCATTGAGAATGAAAAGAGTGGGAACCCCTATGGGGTCTCCTTTCTCACTCCCCTTGGTAAAATAATTCTATTAATGAACCAAGGGTCAGAAGAAAGCATCACGTAAGATGTTGTGGCTGCATTCACACAGAATTGTGAATCCCAGCTTAGCAGAAAGAAGAGACTTTGACTCGCTGGCAAAAATCATTGATTACCATTAGCATAATGCTAATACAAAAAATAAAATAAAAATAAAAATCAAACGTAAGTGGCTAAGCTAATCAGAAATGCGAAGTTTATCATGCTCCTGACTTTATTTCTAAACAAATCTGAAACTGTAAATTCAGGTTGGCAATTTGGCCTTGTCCAGGATTCAACAAACTAGTAATCATTCCCTAATTTGTTTTACAATCCCGTTCAGTCATCCGTGCTATGAAAAGAAGGAAGGGGACACTTCAAGGAAAGAATGAATCTAGCAACTTTGGTTTATGAAGTCAGGAATACGGGGCAAAATCTAAGATACACGTGTATACAATTCAGCTTAAATATTTGTTTCTGGATTTTATTGAAAAAATCAAGACTGCATTTTAGTGTTCGACTTAAACTCAAGGATAAGACAATATTTTGGAACATGCTCATGTGGAGAGGAAAAGGAAGAAGAGAAAGTAACCATTCTTTCCCTCTTTTATGAGGCGGTAATGAAAACTTTTAACAATTCACCATGGTAGGCTACACTGCTAACCAGTTTCTAATGAAAACCATATTAATTGTAGTTTTCTAACAAAAAAAGAGAGACATAAACCATAATAATTAATATAGAATTAAGATAAATGTGATAGGTGATAGGAATGGATTCTGTACAGGAAGATGCCAGGACAACATACATAAGCTTGTGCTCTCATGACATCTAAGACAAATTACCATCTGTGGGATATAAGCTTATTCAGGTATACATTCCACAAACAAGAGATTCCAAGGTGGAGGACTGGTAATGTTCTACAGAGGTAAGGTTTTGTAAAATGATTTTTTAAATAATTCTTGATACTGCAGCTGGTCTCCAAGTTAATACCATTCTATGCAACCTCTCCAGGCTCCCTCTCCCTACTATGCACGGGATCTGCTCCAACTCCAAAACTTTTGCAGGTTTATATTGATTGAGTCCCAAATTTCATTTATCTTATTCTCTCTTACATATATGCACACTCCCTTCTGCAGCTCCCTATGCATTGCAGAGAAGTAGATATGGAGATATTCCAGATGTTGCTGATTAACTTTTATAATTTCTCCCAGACTTCCACCAGAGGGAGCAAAGGAGCTTCTTCTAGCGAAGGAATAAAAGATGCAACCTTCTTCCTTCCTACAGAGACCTTTGGGAGAGAGAATAAGTAAATGAAAATGCTGGACTTTTCTGGATGGCACCAATGGTTTACTGCAATGATAAGATTTTCTACCCACTTGTACAATTTCAGTTTATATTTCTACAATAAAGGGAATCAGTATCGCATATTTCCAATCTTTTTATTTTTGGATCCAATTCAAAAATCACAAAAATAATAATCATAAACCCATAAAGACACAGTGTCCAGATCATCTTCACAGAATCAGCACACAATAATGGACTTGTAAAAGCTGGTTCTAATGCTGTATTTTCTTTACACTGCTAACAGGGCCAAACAAGTGGTGTGTTTTGTTTTTTAAAAAAGTATGACCTGTTTCTATAGAGCTCTTAAAAACTTATGCTTCTTTTAATATCCACATACAAACAAGCCTTTGGAACATAAATACGTATAATTACAGGATGGTTCTGCCTATCAAAAATATCAATGCCTCTATCAAACAGTCAAGTGGGATGCTTAGCAAATACTCCGTTGTTGTCATAAATTAAATAGAAGCTTCTACCTGCACAACACCTAAAGAAGCATTTGACAACACATACACCAAGGGTCATTTTCATACTTGATGTGTACTGCTGCAGAGACATTGATTTTAATCATACATTCTATAAAGATATGTAAACAATTCAGGTACGGCATATTACAAAAAGAAGAGGAGGAAAAGGAAAACACCACTACAGTCAATTAAGATCTGAAATGGCCCAATGCTGCTTCATTATTTCCTATTATCCCTGAGCATCTTAAAAATGACTCTCCCACATTAATTTTTTTTGGGGGGGGGAGGGGGGGAAGAAGAAGCATAATCTTTGAAAATTGGCAAGAGGACATCCTAAATCATTATTATCTAGACATGCTCTGCATTTGGCAAAATTGAACGTGGCTAGAAATGTCTCCTCTGATTGCGGGGAAAAGTTATTCTCCTTCCCGCAGCCCCTAAATTGTATCAGTCCCGCCATGGTGCCTTGTCCTTGCTGATGTCCCATCAACTACGCAAAGTGACACTGTGCAGAAGACGGACTGAAAGTGCCCCTTTATCCCAAAATGGGTCCTGCAGTAAGTGCCAGGCATGAGTGCCCTATAAAACTGCCCTTGAAGAATCTTTGGGCTGAGGCCTCTGAGGGGACCCGCATGCTCTACTTCCTCTACTTCCCTAATTGGACTTGCATCTGATGAATACTTTTGCATCTCCTTTTATTGTCCCCCTCCCATTTTTAAAAGCCATTTCTCATAAAAATCTCTTTTCAAAATTAAAAAAAAAAACCACACACACACACGCAAAGATTACTTTGTCAGAGGAAATCACTATCAAACCTACAGATTACAAAAAGATTGCATAGGAGTATCAATGGGCATAGGTGCACTGAACAGCAAGAAAATGCTCTTCTTTTGTTCTTCTCCTTAACAGAATATGGCAACAATGATGGTATTTTTCTTTTTTTAAAAAAAAAAGAGAGAGAGAATGATTTCAATTTATTTTCAAAGTTGTAGAAAATGGCAATGGCGGTCTATAAAAACAAAGTCTGTTCTTTAAAAGATGTATAATCTCAGGCATTGTACCAGTGACCCTGAGACCCTTCACAGTGCAGTGGAATTGTTTTTTTGTTTCTTTTTGAGGCAGAAATTACAACTCGTCTTTCTTCTTCCCTATCTTCTCGTGATCTCGCTCTCGGAGAGTTCGCATGTAAACCGAAAATCCAGATTCCTAGAATGTCACACAAAAACAAACAATTAGTTTCATACTGGAAGGTGATGGTATAGAGGGGGAGCTAAAAGGAGCAGGAAGTGAGGACTTTTGTTGCTAGACAACATGAGACAATTTGGTCTTAAGCGGACCTCTCTCCTTAAGGAAATATCCCATTCATCACTGTTGCTCTAGATCAGGGCTGGGGAACAATGGCCCTTTTATGACTAGTGTACTTCAACTCCCAGAGTTCCTGAACCAACCATGCTGGCTCAGGAATTTTGAGTGTTGAAGTTCACAAATGATAAAGGGCCCATCATTCTCCAAGTCTGCTCTAGATGGAGGGGCTTGAGAAAGGAAGTTATCTGTCATTGAAAGGAATAGCCCGAGTTCTCTTCCCATACTCACATAACTCCCTCCATATTCTTTTATTTAGGTTAACTGATAGTTTCCAACTCTCTATGTAATTTTTTTCCCTCTATTATCAGTTCAATCATGCCATATATAACATTTTATGTATTACAATACATGGAGACTTAATTATTAGAAAAAATAGGGGAGAAATCACAAGAAGTGCCTTTCTTTATATACAGGGGTGTAAGGTTATTGGGGCTGTGATTTATGATTTTAAAAAAATCAAACTTTTTTATCCAAACAAGTCTCTCAATAAAGATCTAATTGTCAAGAAAGGATTATTATCAAGATAAGCTTCTGTCTCTAGTGTCAGGCTGTCCTTATGAATGATCTTCTGTGTTATTAGCCTATTGATAAGCATGGCACAAAAGAAATTATTTCTAGAAAGAAACATGACATTTCCAAGATGTGTAATACTGTGTTTAATTGAAAATCTTCACAAACCTTTGGGAGTCAATAATATAAAAATGAAGGAGCGAATGAATGAATGAATGAATTTTGCTTTCTATGTGGCAACTCAGCAAGAATGATATCTCTAATCAACAGGATATTGGTTCAATATCCTTAGATCTTTTCCAATGGACGGTGAGGGTTAAAGCTAAGCCACTGCAGATGCCTTTAAATATTTTTATTTAAATATTTCTGAGAGGTTTAGATTAGATCTGACAATTTATCCAAAATGCTTGGACACACAATGCAGTAGGAAGTGAGCTACTTTACTTCGTCTGCTGCATCCGTCAATCTTAACTGAGAATGTTACGCATCACTAGTTATAAAATTTGAGACTCTAGTAAACACCCTAAACAACTACTTTCTGATTAGAACTCTACCTGCTATTACAAATGTTATCCAAAATGTATTATCCAGCCCAGTGAAGCTGTTTATGGTGCTTCCCTCGTCACTTTAACAAAACAGGCAATACTTTATCTATGTAACCACTGAAAACAACACTTCTACAAATTAATTGTGCTTTTAAATGCATGCTGCAGATCCTGTCAGTCAAGTAATATTGACTGGTAAGGACTAGAAGATGGGTTGCCTCTGCTATAGTCCCTGCCTTGTGGAATATTCTCTCCTCAGAGGTTAGAATAGCTTCAACCCTGATGGCTTTTTAAAGGCTTTAAAAACTTGACTATGTTCTCAGCCCTCGCCCTCAGAATGTCTTAAGGGTCCCATTTCTTGGTTTTACTGTTGCGTGGTTAAGTATCTCCACTGCTATATATATTTATTTTTGTATGTTTTTATTGTTTTATTGTTTTAATTGTTTTTTAGTTTTAGAATTGTAAGCCGCCCAGTCACTTGGCTGAGAGGAGTAGCTCTAGATATTTAATGAATGAATGAACGACTCTTTTAAGATGTTCAATCCTCTTTCTTCATAGTAATTTATATTCTTTGCCTATCTTTTTCCATACTCACTGCAGAGTAGCTAGAAATCAAGATCTAAAAAACTATACCATACAATGCACAGAAGATAGGGATGGTGCAATGTTTACCATCTGAAACTGCCAATAATATCATCAACCATATTTGAAGCTCAGGAGATTTCCCAAGTATTCTAAGATATAAATAAAATGATCCTTGGAGATGTCTAGAAGCAGAACACATATTTAGATTCTCCCCAGTTGGCTGTCAGGTGCAATTCAAGATGCTAGTTATCTCTTGCAAAGCCCTTCATGGCACACAGCCTGGTTCTCTGAGGGAGTATCTGTCTTCCGCAGCTTTTGCCATCCTGTACAATGGGTCAGTTAATGTGTTTTGGGCTCCAATGCTCAGACAACATTATTTGATGGGATCCAGGAACAAAATACTATCACAATAGCTGCTCTCTAAAACACCCCCCCCCGATATTTGCAAGGCCCATAACCTGATCTGATTTACATGAGTACTTAAATGTATTTATAATTTTAACAGTAAGTATTGTAAAGCTTGAGGATTTCTTCAGTAAGAATAAAAATGCAATATAATGTTAAAAAGAGATTTCCAGAATTCTTGTCAACAGAGCTAACATTGTTTAATACAAGCTGCAAGGAAGAAGAGGTAAGTATGCATGTTACTTTAAGCAAAGGCACACAGGTGAGTAATTTAATAGTAGCTTGGCAATAATAGTTTTTTGTAGCACACATATTTTAGTTGTTTATGAGATAAGCCTGCATCGGTCATTAAAGAAAAAAAAGTAATGTAACAACTAATTAATTTTTCCAATTTACATGGGAAAAATACATTTTCCAAGAATGTTAAAAGAACATTCATTTGATAAATCAACATCTAAACATGATGTAAACAGAGCCCTAATGGCCTAGAATGCAGTATTGTAAGCAAATTCTGCCCTAGCCTGGAGTGCGATCCAGTTCAATGGAGTTGATCAGGGGTGGGATTCAACCAATTCAACCAATGTTATAGTTCAGTGATGACATTTTGCGTGCACATGCGCGCTGTGTGCACATGTAAAAAAAAATTAGCTGTGCCGCCTGGACAGCTGAAAAGTGCTGTGCGTCGGTGCGCAGCATTTGGAAAGCCTCTTTTTTTCCTGCTTTTTCAACCTCAGCTGTGTTGCGCAAAGCAGCTGAGTTGAAAAAGCAGGAAATAAAGGACAGATAAGATCCTGGGTGGGCGAGTGGACCAAACAGCAGCAAACAAAGAACCGGTTTGATGTCTGCTGCTCTTCAGAGCTACTGGTTCTTTAGAACTGGGCAGAACCGGTAGTATCCCACCCCTGGAGTTGACTCAGCTTTCTATCCTTCTCAGGTTGGTAAAATGAGGACCCAGATTGTTGGGGGCAATACGCAAATAATGCTTACTTTGTAATCCACCCAGAGTGTACTGTAAATGCTATGTATATAAGCTATTGCTACTTTTCATTTTAACAAGCCATTTAATTTTTTAACTGACTTGATAAAATCAGTAATACTATGGCTTAAAAACAAATTAGTGCTTTTTCTAGTTAATGTGAGGATAGCTCATATTTAACACTAACAGCAGTTACCAAAATGAGAAACAAGTGAACAAAAATAGGCATATTCCTCTTTGTACCCCAAAGTATCAGAAAATAGTTCTGAGTATTGCTGCCTTATATGGAGGTAGGTTTTCAGTTCCAAAGTGCAGGTAGACCTTGACTTACAACTGTTTGTTTAGTGACCGTTCAAAGTTACAACAGCACTAAAAAAGTGACTTATGACCATTATTCACACTTAATGACCGTTGTAGCATTTATGTAATCATGTGATCAAAATTTGGAATCTCGGCAACTGGTTGATATTTATGATGGTTGGAGTGTTCTCGGATTCATGTTAACATCTCTTGCGACCTTCTAACAAGCAAAGTCAATGGGAAAGGTAGATTCACTTAACAACTGTGTTATTAACTTAACAACTGAATGATTCACTCAACAACTGTGGCTATAAAGGTCGTAAAATGGAACAAAACTCACTTATCAAATGTCTCACTTAACATAAATTTTTGGCTCGTTTGTAAGTTGAGGACTACCCGGAATTCTTCTGTTGCAACTTTAACTTTCCTTCTAATAAATATTCTAGTAAGATCTTCTCTAGACTGTTTCAATTTTTAATTGTTAAGATGGAGGTGTCTGACTTTTTGGCTGATAAAAATCTCATTCTAAAAGCAAACTATAACACATGAAAAATTTATAACACATTATTATTCACTGAATATTAAATTGTTAAGGCCCTATTTCTGTAGAATTCCCACATCATGTAACTGCAATAATGTTAAAGGAAGTCCTTTAGGATATTCTGGAATGCCCTCTCATAATTTCAGTGTACCCAAAGGACAACTGAAAACCTAATTCAAAATGAGTTTTAAAACATCCTCCGGATGAGTTTATTTGCTATATTAGCTAGGATTGGATACAAAAATTTGAGACTAACAGTGCCAAATACACTCAGATATTTTAATAAGCAAGACTCACAATAAAAGGTTCCAGAATGACTTCGTGCCAAATATACATAAGGAGACAAGATGATAACCAAATGCAGCCTCCTTTATGGAAGCATTAAATCCCCTTTGCTAGATGCTGTCCCGCCCTATATATGCTTATTTATCATTTAAATAGCTGACTTTTGTTTTCCAGCATATACTTACCGCTCTGTCTCCATTGTATTTTTCTATAAATTTTCCATAATTATAATAGTTAAAGGTTGGATATCCATCCACTCCTTCCTGCTTACACAAGTCATGGTTTTGTTCTTTGGCACAATCCACTGCAGCGTAGGCAATCTGGAGAGAGAAATTAAAAAAAAAAAAAGACTGGATCAGTTAAATGGAGCTCAGATGCTTTAAATCCTGAATGGCTATTACATCAAAAAAGATATTAGCTGGAAAACATTTCTAGTATCTAAACACCATTTAGCTTTAAAATGTTAAGGTCCAGGACTGAATAGGATTGATCAAATTTATAACATTCTCTAAGAGCCAGTTTGGTTAGTTAGCTAGAGCTCCAAGCTAGAAAGCGGGAAACAATGTGTTCTATTCCCACCTTAACTATATAAGCCAGCTGGGCAACTTTGGGCCAGTGGCTTTCTCTTGGCCCAACTCTCCTCACAGAGTTGTTGCTGTGGGAAAAATAGGAGGAAGGTGTCTTTGGATATGTTCACAACTTTGAATTATTTATAGAAATAATAAAGGCAGGGTACAATTAAATAAATTCCAAATTCCAGTACATACTTTGGGCAAAATCTAACACCTTCTCTCTCAAATACACTGATATAGATTCCTTGAAAATTTAGTTAGACCAACTGTACAAACACATAGAAAGCAATACTAGCATATTTGAAAAAAAATAATTAGGTAATTATAACTTGTTAAAGTCTGTCTAATCAAAGTCTTTGGGAACGGCTTCTGCAAATTCGAAGTGGGAAAATATGTGGCTATCAGCCTCCTGTATTTCTATGTTTTCTGTTTTATTCCTTTATGTATTATTACTTAACAAACCCGAGGATGTTCACTCACTTTCGCCCAAGGCCAGAGAAGGAGCCAGGTCTTCAAGGCTCTTCAAAACAACAGTAGGGTGGAGGTCACCCAGATTTCAGAGGGAATCCATTCCAGAAACCCAGAGGGCACTAAACCTGCCAGACAATATAGCTGTGCAGATATTACGAGAGATAGGCAGTGCTTCAAATAATCAGGCCTTACGCCATGAAGGGATATATAGATAATGATCATCATCTTGATTTATAGCTGGAAATGAACAGGAAATCAGTGTAGCTTGGGAAGCAGAGGTATTAAATGGACATGCCAGAGCATACCTATCACTGTCCATATTGCGGCTGCATTCTGAATCAGTGTAAGCATCTGGGAGTCTTCTAAAGCAGACCCATGTACAGAATGTTGTAGCAATCAAGCCATGAGGTAACTAGTGTGTATGATTAATTGAAGAACTTTCTAATGAAAACATGTTATTGTAATAGTGGAAGGTAGTAGTTAACAAAGTACATCTCAACCATTAATGTACTTGGTCTTCAACTAGTCACAGTTCTATACACGTACAGCTTATCCTCTAAAACAGGGACATAAATATACCCAGAGTTACTGTGGGTATATTTACATATATCTGTATGCCTACATTTTACATATTTATTTGCAACTAAATGTGATTTATAAAGAGATATGCTTCCTCCACAAATCTCACAAGAGAGTTCCCTATTCAAAATGGGCTTGCAAGATCGACGTGTTACAAATTTGCTTACAAGTTTTTTCTGCAAAATTCCCTTGCACTTTTATCCTAACTGTTCAGAATTTCCCAATATTATTGATGCACATAGTCTACCAACAAAAACATCCAAAGTAAGCTCCTGTATAGTTTTAACCTTGCTTGATTACAAACAATACTTTTAATTTTAATGTGATTGCTGGCTCGACTACTGAATAGGAAAGTTAATGCAATCTGCTTAGAATAACCTCATTTTGCCTTGTCGGCGATCACAGATTTATGACGGTTAAATGCATTTTGGTACTCCTTTAACTTCCTGATGATCCATGGTCACTGTTAATATATACCTATTACACAATTCTTACCAATTATCATTAGCAATGGGCATGCCAGTTCTTACAGTTCTATTGGTTTACTCAGAACTCCCTATAATTATCTCCTTGCTCCAACTGATGCTGCCTCCTACAACCTCTTTTGAGAAATACAGAACACTCTTATTTCAGAGTCTCCTTATGTGGGCAGTTAGGAAGTGCTGGCTGCTTACCTGGCAATACAAACTAATTTGTCAGGTTGAGCAAGTGGACTTGTGTTAATTTGCTGCTTTAGCAAGTATAATTCCTCCAATTGGCACAGCACAGTTAAGTTATTCCACTTGTACTCTGCATGGATGTCCAATAACATTGAGCATTTTAACGATTAGATCCTGCATGCTTAACTAACACAACTCCTTCTCCATGATGAAACGGTGCAATCCTTGAAATAGTGAGCACCTGCAGAATTCATAGAATCCAACCAAGGTTCCTTCTTTAGGTTCCTTCTTTAAACCCTCCAGAACAAATCGTAATCTTCCTGACATACTGGGTTTCCTCCCAACCTCCTTTCATCTATCTCTGACTTCATATTTTGCATCTTCTTCTCTAGGAAAATATGTTTCCTTCTCCCTATTTTCAACACACACAATTTGACCATTTATATTTGGATTTCACTTATGCCACTGGATCTCTGACTTTCCAACAATAATTGAGTAATTTCACTCATGGATTCATGTATAATTTTCTACAGGTATTTTCAGTTTTGATCTTTTCTGTAATGATCTCCTTGTATAGTTTTTCTCCAGCCTTATTTCTCTGGAGAAGTAACTCAAGGTTAATTGCACCAAACTTGGTTGCAGGAAATTTGACTTCAGCAACAGAGTGGTCAATGTCTGGAATACTCTACCTGACTCTGTGGTTTCTCCCCAAACTCCCAAAACGTTAACCTTAGACTGTCTACTATTGACTTCACCCCTTTCCTAAGAGGTCTGTAGGGGGCGTGCATAAACGCACCAACGTGCCTACCGTCCCTGTTCTATTGTTTCTTTTATTTTTGTTATTTGTATCCATGTATTCATAACTATGTTTTTACTTATACCTATTATCTTGTAAGCAATTGACAAACCAAACCAAATAAAATAAAATAAAGTATCAACAACACAAGAGGCTATGGATACTATCAAAGTTAAATTCTCTCTGTTATTGCCTTGTTCTATTTAATCTAATCTAATCTAATCTAATCTAATCTAATCTAATCTAATCTATGGCCTGTTCTGACCCAAACCTTGTTCCAAAGAAACAATCACGAAACAGAAGTAACAGCAAAACCTTTTAATGATTCTTTATGAATTCCGTTCCTTCATGGTTAAAAGGCTGTTTCAAACTAATTGTCTCTGATAAGAATGAGCCTTGCCAAGATTATGCAAGACTGCCAAGAACACTAGAACACGCAGGCCCCTCATCTGAATCCTCACTCTCTGAGACCTCAGACGTCCACATCTGCTGCTGGCGAACCACAACATGGCCTTGCAGTATGCTGTACCATACAAAATGAAATGAACTAACTCAGTAGAAAAACTAGCATCTCAAAGTTATGATTTCTAGACTAACCATCTGTCAGGGTGGTTTCTGAAATATTTTTGGAAGCGGTCTCCTAGAGGAGCATTTTCCAATGAAGATGAAAATAAGAGTGCCCTGATTAATTTCAGAATCAATCTCATGGAAATCACAAAGGGGCTGCCCTAAGTACTTCAAAGGGCAATAAAATGCCACTACTCAAAGCCTTTTAAGAAGTGGACATACTTGTAGATTTAATCACATGAACTCATGGTATGTCCTAAAATATAAGAAGAGTTATTTATAAATAAAAGATAAACTGTTATCATTCAAACCAAGTTTGAGATATATGTGGTCCTGAGCATAAACGTAACTAGCAATTACCATCTTTCTTGACTGCCTCTCTCACTGGAAACGCTACAGGGAAGGCAGCTGCAAATTTAATTAACACAGTAAGAATAAGATACTGGGGGAATAGCTAGGGTATATTGAAGGCCTGCCCGATTTATTCTTGATCTGAGCAGTCTATTTGTTTGCTTGTTTTTTTTCTATTTTTAAATTGATGAGGCCATCAAATTCATTATAATATATACGCAATTTGTCAGGTCTTATTATTATTACGACTATTTTTTAAAATCTATATTATCCTACCTGTAAGTATGCATTTAGACATACAGAAGTATGCCTAAGAGCTACAGATTGAAAAAAAGGTCTTATAATTAATCTTACCTAAAGTCCAGACAACATATAGAAAGGTAGTTAACAATTTTCTACAGTGGAGACAGTAATCTCTTGTCTCCAACTAGAAGTTTGAAAGCATCTGAGGGAGCAAATTTGCCGGAGACAGGAAATTAGAGGCCAGTTACATTGAAACCATTTTTGATCCCTTGAGAAGAAAAGCAAACAAATGAACCAAAAAACCAAAAAACAGACAAACCACGAGTAAACACAATACTTCATGGACACATAGTGTGTGCCTGCAATTCTGAACACCTGAAAGCCACTTTTACACTAATTACAAAGTCCTCTGCAGGAGATTAGTTCAGACTCCTGTATGAATTATTACTCTCTTCAAGCATAACTAGCTAGGAGAGGACGAGATTTCACATAGAAATCTCAAGAAATATGAAATTAATGTTTAATGACTATAGTGTATTTAATTACATAATATTTCCAGCACATAGCATGAGTTCAACAGGCTAAAAGTGTTTTTTGCTGCTGATTTTTGTTGGTACTCAGTGTCTGATGCATCTTGCTGCAGTGTTCAACAATAGTCAACCAACATTGATGGATTCCAGTTGCCCTGAAAAAGGTTTTTCATTGTGGCAATGTCTTGGTAAAACCCTTCATGATGGTTGTCACTGATTGTACCTAGATTTTCAGAAAAGAAGTCCAAGTGTGAATGCAGAAGACAAATCTTCAGTGATATGTTGCGTTTCAGGATCTTGTATTTTGTAAAAAGTTTGTCAATTAATTGAATATAGCTTGGTGTTCTGCAGTTGCCAAGAAAATTCCCTGCCACATCCTTGAATGCTTTCCAGAAATTTTCTATGGCTCTACCAACAGAACTTTAAACTGCTTGTCATTAATGACATATCTGATACATGGACCAATAAAAATGCCTTCCTTAATCTTGGTATCAAGAAACATCTGCCTCAAAAAATAAACACCTTCAGTTTCCTTGTTCATTGCTTTCACAA